GTGAAACATATTATTTGAGAATACTTTTGAACAAAGTTAAGGGACCAACGTGTTATGAAGACATTAAGACAGTAGATGGTATAGTCTATGAAACATACAAAGAGGCTTGCTATGCAATGGGTCTGTTGGATGACGACAAAGAATATATTGATGGTATAATCGAGGCAAGCCATTGGGGGATGCCCTCTTATTTGAGATCTTTATTTGCGATGTTACTACTTCAGGAATGCTTAAGTAGACCTGAACTCGTATGGGAATCAACATGGATTCTTCTCTCTGAAGATATACAAGAAAGGGAAAGAAGAATATATAAAGCAACAGGTATCACATTTAATTAATATTACAATTTATGTCTTTTTTTCCATGTCTTTTTTTATGAACTATAATAAATAGATATCATACAATTTTATTTTTTTCTATTAATAGATATGGTTGTCAGTGAAGAAATACTACGCGAACTGACCTTGGTGGAAATTGATAACATTTTAAGAGGAAACGGTAGCAGCTTGAAAAAATTCGACAAATTTCCATATCCAGATAAATATGCCCATGATTGCAAGTTTCAACAAAATGATATATGATGAGCTCAGTTACGATAGGGAACAATTGAAAGCAGAACATGATCTATTATTTGAAAAGTTAACTGCAGAATAAAAAGGAGTTTATCATCGTGTAATGTCTGCAATTGATGGAGACAAGGGTGGATTCTTCTTCCTATATGGTTACGGTGGTACTGGGAAAACTTTTATATGGAGAACTCTTTCAGCTGGGATTCGATGTAAAGCTGAGATAGTTATTACAGTTACTTCAAGTGGAATTGCCTCATTACTTTTATCCGGGGGTCGAACTGCACATTCGAGGTTTCTAATTCCAATAAGCATCACTGAAGATTCTATATGCTCAATAAAACCAGACAGTGACTTGGCTGCATTATTAAGATGTGGAAAATTAATTATATGGGACGAGGCACCGATGATTTACAAACACTGTTTTGAAGTTTTGGACAAATCTTTGAAAGACATTCTTCGATCATCTGATCCAAATAGTGTTGAGAAACCTTTTGGTGGAAAGGTTGTGATTTTAGGTGGTGACTTCAGACAGATTCTTCCAGTGATACAAAAAGGTAGTAGACAAGATATAGTCGATGCAGCAATAAAGTCATCGCATTTGTGGAATCATTGCGAAGTTTTAAAATTGACTGTTAACATCAGACTACACGCTGGATCATCAATTGATGAAAATAATGATATCAGAGAATTTTCTAAATGGATTCTAAATGTCAGTGATGGGAAGATAGCTGAGCCGAACGATGGAGTTGCTGAAATTGAAATACCTGATGATATGCTTATAAAAACTGATGGTAATCCAATTAATGCAGTTGTTAATACTGTTTACTCTGATGTATTAAATAATTTGGAATATCTAAATTACCTTCAACAAAGAGCAATACTTGCGCGAACACATGATGATGTCAACACAATCAATGATCTTCTGTTGGATAATTTACCAGAAGAAGAGGTTGTGTACTTAAGTTCAGGCAGCATATGCCCATCTAAAGGTGGGGTTAATACTGAAGATGGAATGTTTACACCTGATTTCCTAAACAGTATAAAATGTTCTGGATTGCTACATAAGTTGAAGCTAAAAAAAGGTACACCGGTTATGCTATTAAGGAATGTTGATCAACATGGTGGATTGTGTAACGGAACTAGGCTCCGTATATTAAGATTGGGACAACGTGTTATTGAAGCAAAGGTTATCTCGGAAAATTACATTGGAGAAGTTGTATACATACCTCGGAAGTCATTGTGTCCCTCCGACATCATCTATTCAAAATGAAGAAAAGACAATTTCTAATTGATTTGTTTTGCGATGACGATTAACAAAAGACAAGGACAGTCCCTTTTGCAAGTTGGATTGTATTTACCACGTGCAGGTTTTAGACATGGTCAGTCATACGTTGCACTATCTAGAGTTACATCTAGAAAAGAACTCAAAATTTTAATATGCGGTGAGGATGGCAAGACGAGTAACATGACAACAAATGTAGTCTATAAAGAAGTGTTACAGGATTTATAATTTTTATAATTTTGTTTCATGAAACATTTATTGTCAATCTCAGATTTTTATTTCACAAAAAATTTTCTGTCCCGTCCATCGGACGGGTTTAACATCTATTTTTGAAGTAAAGAGAGTATGCAATTGACGAGTTTAGTTGATTATCAAAACGAGTATTCCCTTTATTTCGAAATTATTGTCCAGTTTGAATTTTTATTTTAAGTATAAATTGAACTAAAAATTAAAATGCAAATTGAACAATAATTTTGAGACTGAGGAGATTCTTCTTCAAACAAAACGTCACCGATTATATTTTCAAACTCCCTCGTTCTCAAGCTCACCAACCACTAATCCTTTAATTATTATTATTATTGTGTGGTTAGCCTTATCTTAAGAAAAAAAATTATGTGGATTTACTATCACTATCTTGTGCAACAAAATATGCTCTTATATCTCAAAATGAGTATTGTTAATATATTCATCTTCAAACTAAACGTCACTGATTATATGCTCAAATTCCTTCGTTCTCAAACTCACCTACCACTAATTCTTTAATTAGTATATTATAGTAAGCACACCCATATGTTAAGAAAAAAAAAGTATGTGACTATCTGGTACGATAAAATATACTCTTATATCTCCACACGATTCTTCTTTTTATTATACTTAAAACTAATTTTTCTATAAATTGAATAATCATTAATTTTGAAAGAGAGGGAATATAATAGGAGTATTAAGAAATAATGGCAAACCATAGCTAGTTTCTTCATCTAATCGTATGTAAATTCCAAAAATGTGTGGCAATTTAAATTAACTCTTGAACTACCAAGATTATACTTTACACAGTTTACAGTATCGTTTGATTATGAAAATCTCTATAAATGAAGGGCGGTGCGTGACATTTTAGATTGAACATCCGCCCGCTTACAATTTCCACTTCAACGTGCTTAATTAAAGAGAACGCCAAATATGACAAAGGGAAAAAAAATGTCAAAAGTAGAGAATATCGGAAAAAGGGAACAATTGTTTGTTAGTCCAGTCAAAACTCAAAGAGTAAAACCTTGAAATTCATCAAACAAAAATATGTGGCAACATTTCCCCTTCGATTTGATGTTTTTTTTTCTTTCTTTTTGGGTTATGTATAGCCCTTCGTGAGCTGAATAGTGAACATTCTAAGTCTCAAGATAATTATTCTGTGTCATTTTTTACGAGTGCTAGAGTTCACCATTTTCTGCTTTTCACACCATTTTAAGCGGTTGATCGTCAAGGGTCTTCCATATAAGTTTTTTTCAGTCATAATTTTCGCCTTGTATCAAGATTTAAAATTATGAAGAACTTCTGATCAGTTATTACTCTTTTTTTATATAAAAAAAATATTTGTAATAGTAATGAAGCAAAATGCTTAAAAATATACTCTTAACATTTTTAGTGTACTCCTAGTCCCCACCCTGTCTTGATAAAAGACATTTTCTCTCTCCCAAAATATTCTATTTTTATCATCATTTTAATGTAATTTTTACAAAAAAAAAAAAATTAAAATCATACAATTATTTCAAAACGGTAAGATATTCAACATCTCCGTTTGTGGATTTGACTAAACATAAAAATCTGAGGAAAACTGACCTTAATTTGCGTTCCATGCGCTAATTAGTTTGGTGTTTCTGCAGGGGATATATTTTATTTGCACTTCTCATTCAAATTTTAGAATTGTTCCTCATACGACCTTGTAACCTCTTCGACGCTTCCCTCACCTTGTAAGAGTTCTAACCGTTGATAATTTAATACTTACGCCATCACAAAATATGTATTCTCTCCCGTGCTAATTATTAGACACAAGTTTGAATCAATTTTAATGTTAATTTAGACCTATAATTAGGACCAAATGGATTATTTTACTATAATATTTAAGTTCAAAAAATATTTTTCTTGAGATGAAAAGAGTAAAAAACAAATATAAAGGTTTGTATCCCATGATATTTATACCCATAGTAACGTGAGTGTCAAGTGTGATGTTCTAACTTTGGTCGACTCTCCACATTAAAATCCTTATATCGGCAGTTGAAATTTAGGGAGAATATTAGGGGTTTTACGTTGCCTTTTTTTGAATTGATATAATATGGAAGACATATCAGAAATACAAAAAATATGTTCGAATGGACAATATATTAATTTAAAATCATTAAAAACTAAAAGATCAAATAAGAAATGATTCCAAACATTATTTATAATACAATAAAAGGAAACATATAATTCTTTTCCAAAAAGTTGAGACAAGAAGTTGTAGTTTTAAATGCTAAAAAAATGTAAAAGAAACAAGAAATAGAAAAAAAAGCCATAAGGTCAAAGCATGCTCCTTTCTGCATTTGAAAATATTCACGTGTACTTGTCTATTGAGAATTGTATCTTACCATCTATCAAGTTGTTTATCATAAGCGAGAAAATTAATTATTATTAACGACAGTGGACACCTTGTAATATAAAAAAAAATTCTAATGGGTCAAAATAAATCTAAAATTTCTCTTGAATTCAGAGTACTCGCATAAGTAGTTTTGAACAACACGAGGTGCGTGATAGATGAAAAATAAATTGCATGTACGTATGAGTTGACAAAGTCAAACCGCGCAGTCATGCGTTCATAACTCTCGTAAAGCCCCTCAATTTTGATACGAATAGAAATAAATAAATGAAAAATCGAGACCCTGACCACTTCAATTGTTTCAATTACTGCATGGAGCCACCTTGGTCAACACGTAAGTTCGTACGTAATCCTTGAACGAGACAAAATTCTAAACACCTAAACATGAAAAGAAAAACCCATTCAAATTCAACAATCAAAATCTTCAAACTTTCAAACCAAATTTTATGTACTTGTTGGTCCAACAAACACCAAATCTTCCCTCCTATAAATACAACATCTCCATACCATTTCCCCACACAACACAACCACATCAAAGTGCAAGATTATTCATACAAACTCAAACCAAAAAAATCCCATTTTTTGCTCATTGTTTTATTTCTTTTAGTACTCCTTTAATCTACGACGAAAATGGCAGGAAGGAAAATGATCAACATTGCAGTTATGGTTTGTTGCATGTTGTTCTTGATAATAAGCATGCAAGTTAACGTTGAAGCAGCTAGGATGTTGAGTAGTACAGAGGAGGACTTTGCTGGGGCGAATCATTTGGATACCTTCCCGAATTCGGTGTACGAGAAGGCGAAGGAGACGATGTCCTTTTGGCTCGAGCGGTTAGCTTCTGGTCCTAGCCCTAGAGGACCTGGTCATTAATTGAGAAAGCCATGGATAGATAGATTTAGTACGATGCAAGAAAAGCATGCAGCATATACATATATGATACTAGCAGTTAGAGAAAGCCCAAAAAGAAAAAAAAAGTTTTGGTTTCTTCCTCTGCCTTTTTAATGACATTCATTGATTCTTTCTTTTATTGTGTAAGATGGAAACGGAATACACATATGTATACATGTAACTTTTATGGAAATAAGAACATGAAGATTAATCTCTTCTTTTTCTCTTCCCATTATTCCTTTAAGTTGTCCTTCTGTTTATTGAAATTTTTTTAACTATGGTATAACTTGGTTGAAATTTCACTTGAATATTCTTGATTATTGCAACGGGCTTTTGCATGCTTTCGGGGTTCACGACTAAGTTAAAGATATTCTGCATAAACTTTGTCTTCTTATACTCACTTCGTCTCTTTAAATAGTCCAATTTATCTTACATTTTTGTTTAACAAAATTAACTATAAGAGGGATGGAAAGGGTATCATTTGTAGCAATTTCTTTGTCCATGCACCAGTTTGGAATTCCTCCTACAGTCGGAAACTTCAAATAATTATAATGGTGTATAAGCTATTCAAAATATTAATTTCCTCATTAGTCGTACTTCTTTGCATTTACAGCATAAATGAAACTATCTTGATGTGTAACTTCAAAATATAAATGAAAAGATTACTAGCTGGCAAACTACTTTTTATAATAATGCCCCGATTCAGTTCACTCCGGTTTTAAGTAGGGTTGGTCCAAACCAGCAACCTTTACTAACGTTTTTGACTTTTTGCATTTGTTAAGACCTCCAAGATGGCACTTGGAATTAAAAAAAATTAAATCATTAAAATTCAATGTAATTGATGGATACCCGATTGTTTGGTAAAATAGTTAAGTCATTATTAATTGCTGCGTCTATACGCAAGGCTCACATACTTTGCAATGGAATTTTTCAATAGGAGACGTGATGTCAATCTCATTGTTTCTATCAAATGTTAAGATAATAGGCTGCTCTCCCGTATACGTGCATACTAAATCTTTGCAGCTTTAATTTTACCATCTAAATATAAGATTGTATAGGGATATAACAAGAAGAAAGGATCACTCGTCTAGATTGACCATCGACTAAATTAAGACATCTTATTTCTTACATATATTATCGTGTCCATTGTTGGTACAGTGACTTAGACGCTTTTTTTTTTAATTTTATATTGTAAGGTGTCTAATTAGTTTGCAAATAACAGTGACTAATTTCACTCTCTCTCGAAATCTCTATCTCTCGAAATCTCTACCACTCTATCACATTTCCGTGTTTCATGCTTTTCTGGGCCAAAATCTGTGTAAAGTTACATGGGCCAGGAGGCCCAGGAGCCATTTCATTGAATGCAATTGATGTTTAATGGACGGAAAGAGTCCCATACTCGTAGGCTTGAATCATTTAATTGAATCATACAATTTGGGAATATTATTAGAGAAAATGAACACATCAATTTTTTTAATTAGCGTAGGCTTTTTCAAGTCATCATTGAGTTTGCTTATCCTCATTACGAAATTGTGTGTTGTTTCTATGCTCTGTTAAAAGGAAAATTAAAAACAATAACAAAAACAATTACACATGAGTGGGAAAAGATAATAGTTAAAAAGCTATTCAGCAGTCGCTCTTGCCGCGACTAATGAAGTTTGCAAATTGGCAATTTGTGTTCTTCTGAGACGGAGCTAGGAATTTCTCAAAAAGGATGTGAAATTTACTAAACAACCTGAAACTATTACTGTGTCTCTGTTCAAAAAAAAAAATAAAATAATTTGTATTAAGTTTTGAGATTTATATTAGTTTTAGTATAAATTTAAAATTTTAACGTGAATTATTTTTTTAGATCAGATAGAGTACTATATTTTGAAAAGGGGTACGAAAATGTGAAACATCTATTGATATACCGTCACTCTTGTCCCCTGGCCCGTCATTTGTAAAGGAAAACTGCTTAAATGGATTAACATTCAAAATTTCAAATTGTGGACCTTCTTCAGGTATCCATTTGTAGTTTGCTCAAATGCCCTCATAAGAGGGTGGTCATACATAAAATTGTATTTCATCATCGTCGTCCAACCAGTAGTATTTATTTAGGAAACACTATTGTTCATATATATGGAGACGATCGAAAAGATCTTCAGAATTGAAAGATCGGCCCAACACATTTCATGATTGTTTTGTGGGGTGGACAAATTATCAAAGCCCATGTTTAGGTCACCTTACTTTTATGCTAAGTACTATAGCGAAGAAGAAAAGCTCAAACTTATCTAGACCAACTATTTTGTCCATTAAAATCCATTAATTACGGTGAATATCGATATTGAATAGCCACAAAATACTATGCAAACAAATAAAACGGAAATGAAATTAAAGCTCAACTTAGGCGTGTTGGAAATCTTATAAGCATCAAGGTCAGTGACAATTTGACAACTAACTTTTTCACTAAACAAATTATATAAAGTCAATTTTAGTTAGTCAGGTTTAACTTTAAAACTTATGCAAGAAGACACCGTTGACTTAGAAATTTGCTACTAGCATGGAAAGCTGATATTTCTTAAACTTTCTTTAGTCAACTTAAAATTTATTGAGTCAAAACAAATACTACTTTAAACAGTATATATTATGAAGGAATTTCCACCTGTCTATTGACAAATAAAAATGTAGCCGCCATCTTTTACCTCCAAAAATTGAGGAAAAATGTGTTATTTAAAACCAATATGTGAAAGAAATCAAATATTCAACGTGAATAAGAAGCCAAGCTGGTTTATAGGGAAGAGAAATTCTCTTATAGATATATTCATCAATTAATATCAGTGGAGTGGTATTATAGATCGAAACAATGTCAAGAAATGTGGAGATTGTTAAGAACAAGCATGTTTTGCTTAAAAATTACATCGATGGAAGTCCAAAAGTGTCTGATTTTATCATCAGTACTGAAACTACCATAAAGTTGGAAGTTCCTGAAGGCTCAAATGGTGTTTTACTCAAGAATCTTTACCTGTCTTGCGATGCTTACCTGTGCTTCCTCATGCGAGGGCCGCAATCTTCTTCTCTGTCCGGATCATTTCGCGGGTTTACTCCCGGTGCTGTAAGTTTTTTTCGTGTTCCCTAATGATTGTCATAATATGATTCATATAATCGATTCTATATAATGCATAAAATATGCTTGATTTCTTTCTTTTTTTTTTTTACCAACAATATTTATCGATTTTAGTGGTCTTAAAATGTAGCCAATAGGGGGATCCGGTGTTTCTGAAGTGGTGGATTCAAAGAATCCTAATTTCAAAAAAGGTGACTTTGTATGGGGCGAAACTTTATGGGAAGAGTACACCTTCGTATCACAACCTCGTTCTCATTTCAAGATTGATGTTCACAAGGATATACCACTTTCATATTATACTGGAATTCTTGGTAATTTTCATAGTTGAATTAAGTTACTTCCTTTTCAATTTTCTTGTTTTGAGGTAGGCATACATATACATCTACTTAGAGTATTTTATTCACAAGACTTGAATTCGAGACTTTATTAATGTAAATGGTAGCGACATTACTTTTATTTGGAAAGTACTTTCTAATCTTAATTTTATATATCCTTGTGAAGGTAAGTCTGGGTTGAGTGCATACGGTGGATTCTATGAGATATGCAATCCGAAGGAAGGCGAAAAAGTGTTTGTATCTGCAGCATCTGGAGCAGTTGGTCAACTTGTCGGACAATTTGCCAAATTGGCAGGATGTTATGTAGTAGGTAGTGCTGGAAGTGATAAAAAGGTACTTATACTACCTTTTTTTTTTCCTTTCACATTTTGTTTTTTTTCTATTTGGATTGTTTTTGTAAGTGTTTTTCATCGTTTTTATCTTGAGGGAGACTATAACAAGTAAGACTGCAATTAGTGTTTTATTTTTTTGTTAAGCATGATGGTATCTAAAATCATGATTAGACCGGAATTAGTGTTGTACAAATTTACTTGTAGAAACTTCCAAGTTATGTTTTTGCTTAACCATGATGGTATCAGGAATCAGATTTCTGGTATTAATGTTCTTAAAATTTACCAGTAGAAAATTCCAAATATTCAGTTCTTGATAAAATCCCAAGTTATGTTTGTTCCACATTGGTTCCGTGCGAGACTTTGTATTAATTTATATATATATATAAGCACTATAAGCTATTCTTCTCATTGTCAATTGGTTTTGAGGTAAAATCTCACGGATTTCAATAGTTCTTGGTTCGTTCCACGTTTTTATTAATTCTGAAAATGATACGGTGATTCGACGATTTCCCTTCTTGTAATTTTTTAAAATGTAAAGTATTGAACAGTAATATTGCCGCACACAGCGTGAAGTCTAGCACTAGAGAGTGAGAGTCAAAACTTTTAGAGAGATGTTCCTGCTAATGAGCGTAGAAAAATCGAGGACCCAAGCATTTCTAATAATCCCCAACCTTGGAGCCTGATTAATCTTAAAATATTTATAACATATCAATTTTGCAAAAGCAATGCACGTGATCAAAACAATATTCTTGTTTCTTAAAAGCAAATTTTTGACTGTAAACATTGTTGCCATGACTATAGGTGGATCTTCTTAAGAACGAGCTGGGATTTGACGATGCTTTCAATTACAAAGAAGAACAAGATCTAGACGCTACTTTAAAAAGGTACATGAGCAATAATTAAAATTATTTCTCCACCAGATTATGCCTTTTTTTCAGCGATCTTAATTTTAAGGCTTAAATACGCAAGAAATTAAATATCTAACTCAAACATTGGTCGTGAAAAATGAAAGAGTGCAAATTTTGTGTAGATAAATAATCTTTTATGATTCTGCCCATGACATATTCAATTAACTGGCTTCTTAATTGGACAACATACAAGTTGTGTAAGTCTTAGTTCACCGACATGAGTAAGTGGCCATTTCTGTTTAAGTTCCTAATGATGGTAGGAAAAGTTTTGTATAATGACCTCGTAAATTAGATTTGATCGGAAAAAAGTGATTAAAAGAAAATACTACCCAGAAAAATTGACACAACATATCTTTGAGCATTTTATAATGTATTTTTATAGGTACTTTCCAAATGGAATTGATATTGATTTTGAGAACGTAGGGGGGAAAACCCTAGACGCAGTACTTCCGAACATGAAAATGCATGGCAGAATATCCGTATGTGGAATGATTTCGCAATACAATATACAGAAACAAGACCCATTGCACAACATTAAGTGGGTTCTTTTCAAGCGTCTTAAGATGGAAGGATGGTCTGTTATTGATTATTTTCCAATCTACCCAAAGTTTTTGGAATTTATTCTTCCTTATGTCCTTGAAAGGAAGATCAAATATGTGGAAGACATTGTTGAAGGTCTTGAAAATGGTCCTGCTGCCTTCTCAGGCATCTACACCGGTCTGAATTTCGGAAAACAAGTGGTTAAAGTTTTCCATGATTAGTCTACCACACCAACAAATCTAATACTCCCACTGTCCCAAAATTATTGTCCAGTTTGAGATTTCAATTTTAGTACAATTTAAACTAAAAATGAAAATTTAAACTGGACAATAATTATGGGACGGAGGGAGTACTTCCATTATTCCACAAAAATAGTCGGAATTAAGTTTTATGATTGTACTAATAAGACAGAGGGAGTATAATATTATGCATAGAAATGGTTTCATCTGCGCCAAATGCGGTAGTGAAGTGTTATATATCCATTCAGGAGTACGGTTTGTAAAAACGAGAATAAGGATTCATCCAATTACCATTATGCTTTTGAAATCTCGTATGCGATATTATAGTGCTTTATATCTCAAAAACGTAAACGTTGTATTTAGTCGATGCCAATCTCGTACAGAATAAAAATTGTACTCTTCTTGTCACACAAAGATAATCTATATTGAGTTTTCAAATCCATAGTACTCAAATTAAAGCAGTAAACAAAAAAGACACATGTCAGTTCCACAATAAAAATTTTCCCGCCAAAAAGCTTTTTCAGTACAAAATGAAAATTGACACGTGACACTCTAACTATTCGGCAAAAAAAAAATAGTAAAAACCTCAACTACTAATCTTCAGCAAATACCCAAAAGAAAATCCCAAATTACGCCCAAAATCTCGGATTCCCTCAATTAGCAGCCATTATTTGGAAAAATTATCAACAACAATTCAAAATTCAACTCCACGCTCCTGATTTGAACATTTTGATTCCTCTTTAAATTCGCCTACAGTTATGTGGGATGAATCCTTATTCAAATAATTAAGGGCCGGACTATAGTGGAGGAGACAAACTAACGGAGGCAAAGACGAATACGTTGTAACGGACGTAGAAGGCAGACCTTTTCGGCGAAAGCATCGTGGCTAATTTTCTGCTCTTTTCTAATTAGCGTCATAAGCCGATACCAAACTTACCGGTAAGTTTCATATCTAGAATTGGGTTGAAATTTGACAACTTGAACATTCCTTTTTAACGGTTGGTTCTTCTTCTTGAATGGTGCTTGCATTTTAATTTTTTTTTTTTACTTTTTAGATTTCTTAGTAGGATTAGAAGGCTTCAATCAATTTTAATCAGTACAAAAGAGATGAATATTTTCACGAAAAAAAAAGAAAGAAAAAAGCTGACCATGAATAGCTATTTCTCTCTCAATTAGTCAATATATATTATAATTGCTGAATGTAAGATTGAGTTTGGTAGTATTCCTTAAATATAATTATCAAAGTCATTTATATTTTTTTTCCTTCCTAAACGCTTATGTCTCTTTGTTTTCTTTTTTCATTCCCACTACTCTTAAATGATTACTCAATTAATAATTATGTCTCTTCGTTTTCTTTTTCATACCGACTATTCTTAGATGATTATTTCATGATTAATTATGTCTTTTTGTTTTCTTTTTGATCCCCACTATTGTTAACAATATAATGAATCTTTAATCTTTCTTCTATTATTATTAATATTATTATTATTATTATTCTTAGGACTACAGAAAAATCATTTCTCATTATCAGGTGATCCTAAGTTTATAACCACTCTAAATTTTTTCTTTTCTTCTTTTCATCTCTTTTTTGAATTTAAAAGGTTCATTAATGATATTTTAAATTATTTAATAAATAAAAAGAATATTAAAAGTCATGCATCACCTATATATAGTTCTAAATTGTGTAAATTTTACTACTTCTTTCTTTCTAAGCCTTTGTTTATTATCTCTCTATCTCAAGTTTGTTAGAGGTAATCGTCTTTCGTTGTTCCTCTTCATATTTTTCTTCCACAATTTAGTTTTTGTTTTAGATTTTTTCTTCTTATTTTGGTTGTTCTTTATTTTAAGATGATACATTTGATTTTATTTGATTCCTCACTTTGCATTGTCGTTGTTTCACAATCGAGATATTGTGTTTCACTACGGTTAAATCCAAAAGTAACACGCTTTAGCTATTTCATTTTGTTCTTATAATGATCATATTACTATAGATAAATTTGTTATATCATTAATATTTGGTAGATATTGTAAGAGAATAATGTAACTTATTTTTTTAATTATTAAATCTTATTCTTTTATATAATTTATATCATATTATTATACGTACGCGTGAAGCGCGTCTAATCCATCTAGTATAATTAATTAATAAATGGATGACGAATGAGTCATGGATTACCATTCCCCAAATGCACGCTACAATGCCAAATTTTAGAGTAAGGCTTTATATGGGGATGCATTTTTTTTTACCGATTTTCGTGAAGTTTCTTTTCTTTTTTTTCTCTTGTTATTAATAGGCAGCAACTTAGAAGTTCTTCTTCCACGTGAAGATTTGAAGGGCACTTATGGCCCTTTGTTCTTATTTCACCGATGATCACATGGAAAACTTATTTCACTGATCAAATGATACTCATTTCATTTTCTTTTTAAATTTGGTTGGCAATCCTTTTCACAAAAATTGAGGATATGGTAGAGAAAGAAAACAGTCTGGCTTTTGTTTTGATTGTGGAGAATACAGACAACAACATGGCCTTTCATTTAATGCTGATTACGAGTTTTGATTGCACAAAATTTATGAGATACATACTTTCGCAGATGAAGTTGAGAGCTATGCTTCTACCAGAAAAGCAGCATTGCCTGCCTCCGAGCCTTTAGATTATTTACGGGTATGATGTCTTTGTAGATTGGGACTAATTACCAAGGTGTGTGTATTTTCAGGTTATGCTTTTTTGGGCTGCATGAGTTTTGAGTCCTGGATGTCAATGATGATCCACTTAATAGAAAACTGGATATACACGGTGGAGGTATTGAACATATCCTCTTTATTTTTTGGCTTCATAATTTAGATTAAAATTTTAAATCAATAACTATGTTTTGATTTGGTTCTGACACTAGATTGAAGTTGCAGATTCATCCTACGTCTTTGGCTAGGAGGCCAACTGCGAAAAAGAATTTGTGCGAAGTCTTTCAGTAGTTAAATTGGTCCTTTTAGTTTTCAGCATTTCTTTGTTGGTGAGTTCATACAATGCAGTGTCAAATACAACTAGAAGGAAATGATGGTTATCACATTTACGTCATTAAAGGTACCATTCACTACTCAAATTTATGTAATTGATCGGATTTCTCATGCATTATTAATTTTTCTATAAGAGAATAAATATATAGTAATAAGATTTATTTCAAACTTATAGATGATCAAATTGCAGCTTTGTTTAGCATTATTGTTGGAAATGCTATAAACCGTAAGATATAGATACCAGCATTTCTAGCATTATTTACCAGTGAATACGTATCATGGGTTTTCCAGAGCCTCAATGTGGTCTTTTGATATTTTCCATATCCAAGTGAGTAATCTATTTGCATGTGAGATAAGGAGGTCAAATTTCATCGTTTATTGTTTTAACTAGTCAATTGGCCTTGCAAGGTAAAGTTTATCTTTATTTTTTATTTTTTATTTTGTTATCTTGAAATAAGGAGGTCAAATTTATTAAAGAATGTTCTTTGATGATCACGATATACATTCTCAAGGAAATTTGTTTTCTTTATGATGAATATGGATAAAACTGGTCTATGTTTCTTTTGATGTAAGATTAATATGGATAAATGGGGAACTGTTTTTTGCACTATCCTATTCTGTTTGTTGGGAAGTTTTGATCTTTGTATTTAAGCTTATGCTGTGATTGAGCTCACAGAAAGTGGTTCAGGACAGCTCTATGGTGGTTGTCAAGGTTGAAACAGATACAACTTTTGAAGCCGAATGGTTAGGCTATCAGGCAATCAGATCAGTTGATGGATGTGTTAATTAAATTGTAAAAATTATATTCCAAATAGTTACGATGCTGATATGGGTAGAAGTTGGTGGAAAATCATGAAGGGAATCATCAAAACTTCTCAGATTTTTGGGAAAAATCTTTTTGTTGGTTGAATGCTAATTTGAAGTCCATTTGGTTGCTGCAGAGTATGCATATAGACCTAGAGTGAATGAGACGTGTGTACATACAATATTGGTGTTGTTTTTCTTAAGTTGGTAACAACAAGACTTCCTTGATCCTGAATACGGCGAGAAGGATTTTGTCAAGTGTGTTTACACTGGATGAAGAGGAAATTGATTATATAATTGATACAAAACTTGACTCTCTTGCTTCAATGAAGAGATAGGAAAAGTCCTAAATGTAGATATGCTCTGTACACGTGCTCTTCCGATTAATTGGCCATTCTACATTGTGATACATATATTATCATTTAAGAACGTTTTTTTAGGATGATTTGTTTTTTTATTTAACAGATTTAAAATACAGGCGACATCCCGAGCATTCGCCCGGGGCAAACATCTAGTTTATATTAAAATTAGTAAAAATCTAAACTCAATATGGTTTATTTTTTTATTTTAAATAAAGGTAGTATTTTAATTTGTGTAATTCCTCTTAGTTTTCGGTGATACAAGAAAAGTTTCCTTTATCCTTCAGTAATTCTGTATTCTCATCGTTAAGGTTCGTATTAATTTAGGACTATTTCTGTCTCAAAAAAATAGTTTATATTTGAGTCAATTTGAACTATGTTTTTTTAAGACGAAGGGTGTATTAATAATAAACGTGCATGGGAACGCGATGGAGCACTACATTTCTAATCACAATCCATTATTTACTGGAAAATGTGCTTGACCCTCAACAACAAATGAATTAATAAAAGTGAGACTTGGGAAACGGACCATTATGCTTTGTAATTCAAAAATGGAAAGAAGTGCTCCTTCTTTTCCTCATTTTTATTTTTTTAGATTTAGTACAAATTTCAAAATAAACATGGATTATTTTTTGAAAAAAGATGGAGTACAACTTAGAAATGAATATAATTCGTCTAAATGATAAAAAATTTAATTTTGATGATGAAATACTTTATTAACTTGAATATTTTTATTATATTACAACTTAACTCCTTTTTTTGTTTGCAAAATTATTTTAGTCAACAAAATAAAATGTACTCCTATCTCCAAAAAAAGGAAAAAAAAAAAAAGACTAGTAATATAGATACAAAAAGTAGGACTAGCCAACAAAAATTTGGAGTATTTCTCAGTCCATTATTGTTTTTATT